ATAAATATAATTATACGGAAAACTATTAAAATATATGAAAATCTTTTACTAACATCATGTCACTGTAAACTTGACAACAATATAGAATCAATTACACTACTAGCTAGGGCTGTCAAAACAGCTCGTTGTTCACAAACAATTCGTCTTCTACTCATTAAAAAGTTCGTGTTTGATTCGTTCGCTAAGCAAAGGAGCAGAACATGAACAATTTTTTTTTGCACTCAATATATAAATGAGCCGAAAATAAACAAAGAATTATTCATTCGTGTTCGACTCATTTTGGTTCGAAATAATTCAATTGGCCACAATGCTACAAAGATTTATAATCAATTAAAATTATTAATTAAAAAATAGATGAAAAGATATTAATTATATCTAAATGATGTTTTAATACAAATAATAAGATTTAAATCTCAACTCAACCCTTAACATCCTGCGGCTATGTGACTAGGGTTGTCAAAACGGCTCTTTGTTCGTGAACGGCTCGTGTTCGACTCGCTAAGCAAACGAACTGAACGCGAACAATGAAATTTGTTAACGAGCCGAACACGAGCTGACACATATTCTTTATTTTGCTCATGTTAGTAGAATGGTAAAAGATTTTATAAATATAAAATTTTAGAGGGACTAATAAAGCATGTAGAGTCTTATTGAATTTATTTTAGCATATGATTTTGTTATTGCTAAATATTTATTTAAGAAAAAAAGAATTGATCACTCGTAAGAATTGATTTAATAAAACACAAATTCATAATTTTTATAAAAAAAATAGATCATCAAGATTGTAAAGATTGTGAAGTCATTCCAAGTGAAAATTTAAGTATTCAACATAAATTGTTAGTTCAAGATTTTAAGATGAAAACTATTAAATTATATGACAATCTTTTACTGACATTATGCCACTGTAAACTTAACAACAATATAACATCAATTACACTACTAACATAGTTACTCATATTATTATTTTGCTCATGTTGGTAGAGTGATAGAAGATTTTATAAATAATCATTGTGCCTAAGATTTTGGAGTAACTAATAAAAAATATAGTGTTATGTTGAATTTTATTTTAGTTTATATGTTTGTTATTGCTAAAACTTTATTAAGAAAAAAAGATGAGCAACTATTTCGTGTGTATCTTACGGGTGGTTTTAAAAAACCCCACGAATTAACTTGTTTATTATGTGTATGAATGTTGTTGTTCACCACATGATGTCATAGAAACACCGTCCTTCTTTCAAGCTACTGATTCAGAAAGAAGGCTTCATAACATGGATATGTATTTTTAAATACAATATCTCATCACCACACCAGTTCTTTACTCACAGTTAATTAGCCAAATAATCATGACAATTAGCATCCTACTATAACAAACTTGAAAATGTATGGTTTAATTGAACTGACATAAAAGCATCGTCATGTTTGTGAAGCAACTAAACTAAACAAGTAAAGTGCAAATCCTTCTGAACCCTCAACTCAAGCCTAATAAGCCCAATCTTTCACAAATACATCACCATCATTCTCAAAATCACATTTGTACAAGTCAATGTGAACTAATTACCACAGCCCCAGACAAAAACTCCAACCTAGAATTTGAGAATCTATCAAAATACACCAACCTACTACACCTCGTAAACTTACAAACCAATCCAGATTATACAAAAAAAAAAAAAGATCAAGAAAGCCAAAACAGAAAGAGCACCAAAGTTGAACATAATGATTGCAATAAAAACAATCTTATCAGGCAACTCGAGTTGAAACACAATATTAACGGAAACCAATCTCAAATAAAATATCTTCCGAATGAGTTGAATTGGTAATTAAGGAATGCAAGGGCAATGAAAGGGCAGTAAGAAATGCTGACTATTGGGTTAGAGGATCGGTCAGAGATTGGATTGAAGATAACGGTGGTAAGGTCGGAGACCAAGTTCACCACCTTCCTGTGCAGAGAAGAGGGCAAGTAGCCCATTGTTGATCATCTCCTGCCTAAAGAGGTGTGCGACGGCCATCAGATAGATTGATCACAGCTAATTTCTCACTCTCCTTTCCTTGTATCTCCTTCTGTCTGTCCTTCCGTTTAGAGAGGCCAGAGCGAGGGAGGTGAGAGTGAGACGCTAGGGCTCCGATCGAATGCGGATGAGACGCGAGGGCAATGGGGTAAAACACAAGCAAACGAACGCGGGTCGTAAGGTCGTCCTGCGGCCGCATTTATTAAACAATCGAAACCGTTGTTTCGCAAAACGCACCCCCAAACATTTTTATCAAACCGGACGACGGCGTTTCCGCGATTTTAATTCGCCCCAAACGGGCCTTTAGTTTCACTTGCATCGCTTTCCTAAAACAATTAAGCATATCCGACTAGTTTTGAATCAATGCATTTAAGGCTTTCAAAATCAAATAGAAGGCAGCGTAAAAAAAGTATTCTAAATTATTGATCCAACCAAAAATTCCTCAGGTGTTTCCTCCTACTGAATGTAGGAATATAATTTTGATCCTCGCAGAACTATAACTTACCTAGCCATGCTTCAATTGAATCATTTAATAGTTTTTTTTTTATTGATCTAATTAATATGTCCTGGTTCTAATTGACATAGGAATGTAATCACTTTGATGCCAAATTAATATAAAATATTAAAGACCTAAAATGTTCAATGCAATTGATGCAATAGACATAAATCACATAAAGATTTTAGGGTTCAAAAAGCAAAGACAGCAAAACACATTAAAACACGCTATCTTTTGATTCAGACTAGAAAATATGAAAATTTAATCAAACAATAAAATAAAGAACAATTAAATTAAAAAAATGATGAGAATTTCAAACCAAAAAAAAAATTTCGTGACCTAAACAAAAACATTGCCACAATCAAAAATACAATTGTAACAAATTTATTCAAAATTAGAATTGTTACATTGCCCAAAACAAAATGTTAAAGAAGAAATAGGTGACAGAAGAGAACGAGGAATTGTATAGCTTTTCGGCCTGACACTAATACAAAGTGATGATTTTTTCATAAAATTATTTAGCCTCACTTGAATGTACTTTAAAGAATCTCAAATCTAATAGACACACACAAGGCTGAAACTCAAATATAGAATTTATTAATATTACATGCCAAAAATAAATATTTATAATCATATTATCTCCCTTATAATTGCCATATGTATCGATTCAATTCAAAAACCCTTAGCTTCATGTATTTTCATGTAATCCATAGCAAAGTCTTAGCAAAATTGGAAAGGGATAAGCCCAAATAATACCATACAAAACTGAAATAAATTAAAAAGAAATTTAATTTAAAATATTGAAAATTTATTAGGAATAGTAGATATAATAATATTAGAAAATTTTAAGAAAACCCAAACTTTATTTCCAGTTCAAAATAGGTCTTTGATCACCTAGACATCATAATTGGCGTATTTTTCTATATTTTCCTCAAAATAGCACCTCAACACACACTTCAAACCCAACCATTCAAAAATGCATGCTGACAGAAAATAGTGTTAGACATGTAAGAGAGCCAAACACCGTTAACTTCCTGCTGAGTGGCCAAAGGTACATATAAGTTCAATATTCTGCACTTCGTGGTAAGCTTGAAAATCTAAATCGCAAAAAGGCTGGGATCTTCATTAACACAATGAGGCCAACATTCTTTATTGAGAAGTCTCTCCTGCATTCACTAAGGCAATACCCAAAAAAAAAAAAAAAAAATCAATTCTAACCTGAAGTTCTGGTAAATTACTGCGAAAAACATCAGTTACATCAGGGTAAAGTCGCCAAAAACTGTTAATCAGGGCTTTTGTCTAAAGTCCTTGATTAGCTTCAATACATTATTTCCTCTACCTGATCACAATTCTGCTGTCAGCCTGGATATAAAGCTTGATGTTGCTAAAATTCTTCAATTTGGCACAGTCCTCGCCTTAAAATCTTGTTTGAGACTTAAAGTGCTATTGCGTATTTTATTTAGGCTAAGACACCATATTAAATATACATGCTGTGACCCAATCTGCAACCTAGAGCCAAGGAGCTATGCTACCCAAAATTACAGAGCTAGATTAGGCTCTTCACCGAATGAAACATCTTGCTTCAGCTTTGAAAACTGTTATAGACCTCATTAAGGCCTTATATACAGCATTTGCATTAGGATTGTTCATCAACATTAAGCCAAGGAACCAAAAATCCACATAACTAGTTAAGGCTTTCTCTAAAACTTCTACCTAGGCACAAAAACTTTGATGAGTTAAAATTTTAAGTCAAAATTCGTCATGCCAATAACTCAACAAAAAAAGTACTGACATAACTAAGGTCCTAGCTGTCAATCTACAGCCAGGACCTTATGCTATCAAATTTTGCTAGCTATCAAATTTTGCTAAGCTAGCCAAGGCCCACACTACAAATAATAAGGCCCTCAACCATCACCTCTTTGGGAAGCACTTTGGATGAGGTAACTATGGTTGCTAATGATATATTCTTATAGTACAGACAAAGCTCTATGATAACTAAAGACTAATAACCAAAAAAACCTTAAACATTTAAATCATAGTTTGTTGACAGGGTTAACTACCATTTCAATGAACTTGTTTCTCAAGTCTTGCATTATCAGAAAGCATCCAGTATATTGAGCAGAGCGACTTCCTTCATCAAGGTGCTCTCATTGTTAAAAGGAATAATTAAATCACAGAGACTTACACCCATAGCAGAACATTAACTTAAATCTAAATAAATCATAACAAGAGTTAACAGAAATCATGGTTAACCACAGACTCAATCTACCTCAAGAGAAAAATTACTTTTTAGATCTAAAAAGCCTGAAATTCATTTGTTTTTCGTTATGTGATCATTATTTAATGTCAACTTAAATTTTTTTCAGCGAACGCAACAAGAACTGAGCTCAAAATTTTCACTATATTCAATAATAACTCTGCATAAAATAACCTTCAATGGAATGTACTAAAAAGGACATAAAAGTACCTAACATTAACTGGGGATAAGAGTAACTTACTTTAGAATCTTTCAATGAAAGAAGGTAAGCAGCCATGAAACATGCAATTCCATCCACTATCTCCTCTTGCCGAATAAGAACATAACTATCTTCATCTGATTCATTGTCAACAAGAATCTGTTTATCATCCCATAGATCATTTGAGGTCACCATATCCCAAGAAGCACTATCATCTGCAGAAATTTAACAAACACCTGTGGGTTAATATACTGGGTGGGAAAACAAACAGTAATGAATTTTAGCAAGAAATTCAGTTTATTAACCATGTACCAGAAACATCAGGACAAGCTGATATATCGATGCTCCCAAGCTTTTCAAGAAAGGCTGCTGATTCAACCCTGAACTTGACAAGATTGCATAGCTGCATATGAAAATGAACCAAAAGATCAATTAAGGTTTTCTTCTAAAATGAAATTAGGCACGGAAAATTGATGATTATGTCAGCAAAATGATTGCATAATCTTTTTTGTTAAGACTTTTTTTTCACACAATTGCCCAATTGCCTTTCAACCATCCTATGTCTGCAATGAAAAAGGGAACTACTCCGGTATGCTTAAAGAGTACTCTTGAAGCACAATTTTTTTTCCAATTACATGGAGCTGAAAGGCCATTATACTCATTTAGAGTTAAAATACTGATATGTTATGAATTAGATGAGAACATGAATTTATGTTAAGTACTTTTTTTACACTTTTATAGTACAAATTTTTCCCTAAAAAAGTACACAATTATTTGATGACAAGATGTTGACGATGAACTAATATATACCTCACATGAGAGTTAAAAAACATGTTCACGTGCTCATGTGTGCGAAGTGCTCTGCTAAAAATTAATCACATCCCTCAATCCACAACAGGAAAAAGCAATAGGATACCATAGTTCATAATTCTTGATAATCTTTTAGGCATAAATCGAGCATAAGAAAATAGGTCCCAATGGTCAGTTCAAATAATATGATCAATACTTCATTAGTTTCTCGGCATATCAAAAACAAGATCAAATGTAATTTTTATACAAATATTCTACTATATTTTGAGAAATTGTATGGTCTTGATTTCAATGAAATTAAATAAAAAAACCTTTTGGTAAAGGCTGTCGCCATTTTATTCTTTATCATGTTTAATAGATGGGCATTCATCCATAACAACTGATAACAAGTGAACATTAAGTTTTTTTTTCTTTCGATTGTCAAAAAGGCCACTCAAAAAATTAGAGTGGTTGAAAAAGGCTGAAGTCTTGAAAAAGAACCAGAAGCACCAAATGTTCTTGATGCAAGTTCTAATAAACAATGAGATTTAATAAGAAAAAGGTGCTTATGAACAGTTCACAAGCTTATGAGTCCCAAGTGTAAGAGAATGTCAAAGTCAACAAGCATAATGCTTCAAAACAAAAAATGCGTTAGTGAGTACCTAATAATATTACTACATTTGCAACAAAAATGTGAGGAAAAAACAAAATAGCAGTCCAAAGATTATTTAAGATATTCATGCGAATTTCAGAAAGTGCAGGTACGTTCCATCCCACAAATACTTGCAAGTATTAAGAAGAAAATGTAGAGGAAAAAAAAGCATATCAGCGTCTGATGCTCCAAAGTTAAAAAACTATTAGATAAGAGAAAACCATGACTTAACACGTTGACTCACATGCCAAAGAATAATGCAACATAAATCTCAAATACATGAATAAAAGCTTCAACTAGCAGCTAATGTTTGCATATCTTGGTAATCCTTGAACGATAACATATTTTGAACTAGCATGCTTCCATGGTCAGCAAACATTCAGTCCTTGCACAGTAAGGATTGTTGAGCTAACCTACTTTATCCTAGATACTCCATAAGGTCGAGAAGGGAGAGCTTTGAAAAACATAGTGCAATCTTCAGCTCATCTTGCAAGTTTCTAACAACACAGTTTATCACCTTCACTAATAAAAATGACATTTGTCAGATATAGCATGGCATATTTTGCATAACCATAACTTGTTCGAATTGCCCTCAAAATGAGCATTTGCAACTTAAGCCAACAATAACGGAGATATGAACTCCTTCAACTTTACACACAACGCTAGTCAAACCAGCAGTACTAAAACAAGAAAATTTTAAATTTTAATATTTACTGCTTCAAGATCCTATGCCCTTCATTTATTGCTTAAACTGTTATTTAATTCACATTTCCATATATATAGACTTACTCTATAACTGAATTTTCTTGTGTCCTCATAGCATGCTTCTTGTTTCCTTTTTGTTTTTCCTGTTAAAACTTCACAGGATCGTACTAAAGGCGGTGTGGATAAAAAAGCGTAGCAAGGACAAGTACAATCAAGTTGGAGGGTTGATTTTGGGATCAAAATAGAGAAACAGAGAACAAGAGTGGAGGAGATCAGGAGCTGAAACTAAGTGGCTGGGAAAGAGAATCCAAAAAGAAAATCGGTGTCCTTGTCTTCTTCACCCAAAAGCAGGAGGCTGAGCATGAGTAGAGAATCGAAGTCACAATCATCAGGACAAGCTAGTATCGTTAATAAGGTTGGATATTTATGCAATTTAGAGGAGAACCAAGTAAGATTGCTTTTTTGTCTTTTATGCAGTTGTTAGATTTATCCAAGATTTTGCAAAGAAACCTGAGATTAAAAACAGTGTTAGACATGTAAACTTGTGTAGGTGGCTGAATATTGGAAGAAATAAGAGCTACCTGCTTTCTCTCTGTAGGTGGCTGAATAGTGGAAGAAATAAGAGGTACCTCCTTTCATTTACATTTTGTGTTGTCAACTTTTTTTCTGCTGCTGTTACAAGTATGCAAATTGTTGCCAGTTAATTTTGGTTTACTAAACTAGTTTTGTGCAGGGTGCTCTTACGCCGGCAAGCTAACTTAGGTTGGATAGATCTGGATGAATTTTTTTTAGATATCTATATTCTTATTTTTTGTTTACTGTTTCACAGTTTATTTGGGTGTGAGTTGTTGCAAAATCTCTTAGGCATAATTTCTTGTTCAAAAGAAAATAATAAAAGTGAATTTAAATATATATTTGTCCACATTTTTTTAATGTTTATCTGAGTTTTGTAAATCCGCATAACGTTTGATTTTGTAAATGGAATACTGATCCATGGCTTTGTATCACACACTTGGAAATTCTAGTTACTTCATTGGAAAGATTTTGTAGTATTGAACTAATTAATGTCATAGAGATGTCTAGAGGTTTACAAGAACGAGGGATTCTAAGATTAAAATTGAGACATAAGATTTTGTAGAATTGAACTACTTAATATCATAGAGATGTCTAGAGGTTTACAAGAACGAGGGATTCTAAGATTAAAATTGAGACATTTAATAGTAAGACAATTCTCAATCCGAAGGAAACAAATGAAAGTCACTCTTTCTATATTAAAGTAGTTGCCAAGGTTCTTTAAATGCACATGAAAAAGCAAAAAAGTATGAAGTTGGCATATTGTACGTTAGTGCTGGCATTTGAGCAACAAGGAACTCCAGAAGCTGATAATGAAACACAGCTATAGAAAACATGATTAAAATAAAAAAAAATGCATATGATCAAAATTTGCAAAATGGAATTCACAAAAACAAAAAATTATCTGGGTTTAAGATATTTAAAGGGAAGAACCAAGATAATTCGGCACACACACAAATAAAAGAAGAATTGGTAGAGTCAACAACAAGAGTGCTTACATGAAAAACTCGAAAGAGTAAAAACCATGCGACATAACCCAGTAGAAATGATTCCACTATATCAATGTATATTATAAGATTTTACCAGCACATGAATAGTCAGTCGGATGCAATATTACATAAGTAGGGGTTATCAGTGTTACTTCCACTAGGAGAGTGGCAAAATAAATTAAAGAAGTGGTCGCGACTCAGCTACTCCGAATGAAAACCGAAGGTAACGTCATGCACCAGAAAGTTTGATGTCAGCATCGTCGACAACAGCGGCCCAACGATAGTGATCTGACAGCAGTGACGGTGGTGGTCGGGCAACAATAGCAGCAGTCAGATAGCGGTGGTCTGACGACGAAGATGGTGGTGGACAGATAATAGTGGTTCAACAATGATGATAGTGGTGGTAGAGCAACGATGGTCCTGTGATGGTGACGGTATGATAGCGTTGGTTCAACGACGGCGACGACTATGGTTGTCGGGCAACGACAGTCTAGCGACAGCGACCCGATGGTGGTGGTCTGACAACGATGACGGTGGTGGTTGGGCAATGATGGTTCGGAGGCCAGACAGCTGTGGTTTGTTGGCGATGATAGTAGTGGTCAGACGGCGACCCGACGGTGGTGGTCTGGCGGTGATGATAGTCATGACAGGGCAATGGTGGTCTGACGGCATCGACGACCAGATGATGGTGGTTTAGCTGTGAAGATGGTGGTGGTCGAACCACAAACCGACTAGACCTCACTAAAAATGAGGTCAACAGGTGGTTGAGCAACGATAGTTCTGCAGTGGCGGCAACGGCCAGACGATGAAGGTCTTATAGTGATGATGGTGGTCCGTCCAGACGACGAGCCCTTAAGAGCTTGGAGCTACTTCAACTTTCTCATCCAGGTCCAAGTCCCCCCTTTCATGAAGAGAGTGAGAGCCTATTTATAGATTTGGTAAGTAGCATCCTCCATAAATATTGCATAAATTTGGATCACTCCATTGGCACCTTTCATTAAATGAGGTTTTATGAGTATTTAGGTGTCTTAATAATGTCATAATTAAAATATTTTGGGCCCGTTAGATTTGTCTTGTCAAGATGCTCGGTTTGGCTATAAACTTGTCAGATTTGGAAAACATTTGGTCTCCTAGAATATATCTCAAAGCTTTTTATTAATGTCAGTTAGCTCATCTTATCAAGATACTTTATTTGAATAAGAGTTTAGGTAATTCCTAATTTGATTTTTGAAGCTCTTAGTCCAAATGTGTATTAAAATTCATGCCCGTCTCAGATAATTTTTAAGAGAATATATCGATATAGATAATTTCAATAAGATTGCATAGATAAAAAAAACCTTGTGGTTAAGGTTGATGACGTTCAAGCTATTATTATTTTGAATTTGGTACCTACGTCTTATGCCCATTTTGTTGAGAGTATGAAATATAACTTAGACGCCTTGTCGTTTGAAGAGGTTGGTTTAGACCACTTTGAAATCCATCATAAAAAAAAAAATTTGAAACTAAAGTTTGAAAAACAATTTGAAGGAACTCTAAGTTTGAATGTTAGAGATTGACTAGAGAAGAAAGAAAAAAAATCTATACTAAATTATAACAGCTATCCTTAACCATTGTTACTTATTATTTGCTCTTATTCTCTGATTATATATTTCCTATTTTATCTTATTCTATTTTATTTTCTATCCAAGTTGTTCT